CACTGATTTCAGTGCCCCAGCCCTATAGAGGCTCCTAATGTTCCAGGTACCAAATCTCATGTCCTTTTTCAATTGCCGTGGTCGTGCCAAAGAGTCCGTCCTGATCCGAGGCTTGGTTGATTTTTTTCGTAACACATATTTTTTTTTTTAAAGGTGAAAGGTTGTTAGCCCTCCACCCAACCCCCAACCTGGAGGACCAGGGTATCACTCTTAGTCTAGCGCATCTCCTTAGACCTGTCCGGCTTGGGTGACCCTACCATGAGCCGAAGCTCAGGCCGGCATAGCCCTAAGGGTCATTTGAGCACGCAAGCCTCCTCACCCGGCAGATTGCCTTCGACAAGGTGGTGATACCTTCGAGAAGGCATGATAATCATATCTTGTTTAATTAAAAATTGCCCGAAAATACTATTTTGTCCCCATATATTTTTCACAGTGGATGAACTGTAATAACCCTGTCTTAAATGAAACAAAACGTTATGCATTTATAAGCAAACTTATAATAGATATATACGATAAATTTTTGTAATCGTTTGGACGAACATCCACAGAAAACTTTAAAAACTTGAAAAGTGCTTCATCTAGTTTCTGAGATGTCTTTATATAATTTACCGAGTTATGTTAATTAAACGACAATATCAGTGATAGATTACGATAGTCACAATGCACCAGTACATACGGAAGCCCCGTTTCAGCAAAAGTGAATTAAAACACCGTCATTTAATTGGCCACGTATGGACGTCGAACCGCAATAATTCTGTAGGGTATATCAACAAACATTCTAGATTAACTATGGACTGTTCAATTTTCAGATATTCTTCTTCAAGATGTAAGATGTCTGTACCTGCCAACGGCACCCTGGCACGTGCAGCAACGATCGGTTTCTTCTCTTCTCCTAGTATTTCGGCTGCCACCGCTCGGATCTCAGCCCAATCGCGAGTGATGTCGTCGCCTGTGGTGCGCTGCGAGGTGACGGTGAAGCGGATGACGTAGCGACCCTTTAACGCAGCAGGAACGCAGTGCAGGTTGCCGCGCGCATTTAGACGTTTCAGGAGCCGTTCCGTCAGATGGTTCTCCCCACGAAGCCGGAATACCACCATGCCGAGATGCCGCGGCGCAGGGATTTCGAACCTCTGGTCTGCCAACACCAGTGCTTCGAACTTCTGAGCTAACCGAACACCCTGTTTTACAAGAAACATATCTGTGGTCTGAGGTTCTCGCTGTGGCGAGTATGAAGATGGATCTCTTGTGCCTTGTATCATCGTGTAGTCTGGCCGAAGTAAAGTTACCAGACTACACGACTGTACAACCAAAAAGGCAGCCATCTTCAGTATCTGAATAATTTGAAGGCTCATAGCGCCATGTTTTTTTTTTGAGGGGGGGGGGGGGGGGTCACTCCTAGGACTGAAGGGTGATGAAGCATATCAAGACGATACTGCAAATAATAGATACAAATTACAGAATTATAAAATAAAGTTTATTAAGGCTTCTTTCTCACGTACATAAGCACCATGTGGGCGTGCAGAACAAAGTGGCTTTTATCTACTTTTTCATAACACAAACACGATTGTGCAATACAGAATTAAATGGATTAAGTGTGATTTTTCAAATATTCACACCTTCAAAGTAGACTAAGCTATATTTATCAAGGTCTATCCATGTATTTGGTTGTTTTACCATCTCACTGGTTAGAGGCATTCAAAAGTGGAAAATTAGGTGAATTCCAGTGGCTCACATTTTCAGTTAAATGTACTTAAAAGGCCTAATTCCTGTCCATTGGTCAGTCCAGTGGACGCTAACCCAGCTTTTCCGGTGTGGGGAGAGGCTCTTGCTTCCCAGAAGGCCCCCAAGCCAACAAATTCGACTCGTTGGACAAGCAAGTTAATAGAAATTTTGACGAGAAGCGACTACAAACGTCGAATCAGGCAGCCACATCCACATGTGGCATGAGGGCAAGAGTGGCTCAGGGTGGACTCGTCTCACCTTTGATGTTCAGTCTGTATGTCAACGACACCCTCCCGCCATGTCGAGCTAGGGCATGACTGTCGTTGCCACATCCCGTATTCCATCGCTTCTCGTCGGATACCTGGAGGTCTATGTCGGTAGACTAGAGCTGTGGCTACGTTTGCAGAAGCTTTGGTTTTTAAAAGATAACTCTAGTTTGATTTTCCTTAAATTATTCTTTCAGCAAACTGAGTCAACGCATGCATTGTTCTGAGCTCAACTGCTGTATGCCTACCTCTCGAATATGTTTCTGTAGTCCTTTGATGCCATAATTCCTGATGACGAACCACAGTTTGAGAGCTCTAAACCGCTTGCTGAGTGGTATCTGCCAATGCTGTGTTGAAATAAAACAATATTAATGAGATTTAAAACTAGCTTTATGTCGTTTATGTCACATTATTAGCGTTGACAAGTTTATGAACATTAAGAAATTTTGTTCGGTAACTAGGAATAACAGACAACTATGCAACATGTTTTAACCATGGGATATTTTACACAATTACTAAAAATACTTTTGTTGGTATTGATTTATGAACAATAAGTTATTAACTAAAATTTTAAATTCACTTTATATTTAGCGATTGAGCGTTGTTTCTAATTGGTAAATATTTGAGATCACTTTCATCTTCTTTAACTTATAGTCATTTGTTTCTAACAAGTAAGCAACATTTATCTGAGAAATTAATGTTGTAATTGACTTAAATCTGGGTTTACATCTGCGGCGTGGCTTCCAAGAGGCTGTATGTTTAACAAATGGAAATACTGGGTTTATGTATCTAACAATAATGACAATATTTCAGTTAATATGGATTGAAATATTAATTGCTAATAGAAATAAGGCACCTGTGGCCACTTTACTACAACCACTGATACTGGGCCACTTAATTTAAATACAAATAACGATTTAATGTAAATGACAGCGATTCTCGTGTAGACTGAAATTTTACCTTCAGAGTCTGTGTTGTTAAAAATAAAATGTAAGCTTCATTTTCAAGCTTTATGTATAACTAATAAATGCTTTTTCGTACTTAATTATAAAGATCAGAGAATATATACACACATAGAAATAATCATGCAACACAGGCCAGAGAACACTTATATATTCACTAAACTTAAATGTTATGCTTACCATGTAGTCAATTGCAAGACCTAGAACAAGAGATAAGGACACCCAGATTTTAATAATTCAGTTTGTTCAAAGGAAGTCACAAAATATTTGCCTATTGCGCGGAGATTATTTGCGTTTTAATTCAAGAAATCTGACTTCTTCTTTATAAGTAAGGACACGCGTTTATTGCAGAATTTTCACATGGATGCAGGGAAAACCAATCGTGTAATTTCAGCCATCATAGGGCACGCAAGATTACAAATATCAAACATCAAGGTATTATGTTGGCCTCATATTTTACGAAACCAAAGAAATACATCATATAACTACAATAGTTTGGGAGTTATGGTCTTTGTATCAGCTTTTACTCTTAAATCCAAAATCAAACAACGCGGGGAGACATTTAAGAAAATGAAACATTTACCAAATACATACAAAAGGCTGTATTATCAGATACAAATTTTAAAAGGGTACATTTTTATTAGAGTGATAAAATAGAAATTTTTAAGATTGTAGGTAAAAACAATTACCCCTAATTGTCGATAATAAATGAAAAGTATTTCAAAACAATTGATAAAATCACTCGAAATAAACAACCAATATGCATATAGTTAAACTTTACTCTAATTTTTTAATGCACCAAAGAATGTTCTTACACATTATGTCTGTAACTGCATGCTAAATTGTGTACTGTTGTCAGCTAATTCCATATAACGACGGTGTACACAGAGCATGACAAAGGGTATGTGGAATTTGTCTTTCTATGTGGCCATTAAAATGCCAAAATATTTGTATCCTTTTCTCTTTTAAACTTTAAGAAATTGTTTACTTCATTGATATCTACCTGTAAAATAAGAATCACAAAAACCGATGATTTTGTGGTTGACAATTAGGTTTTCTTTGATTGGATATGGAAAGACTCGAAGTTATTTAAAATAAAATTATAATCTCTTTGAAAGAAATACAAAGTTATACCTGAATTTTCGTGTTGAAGGTACAACGGTTCCACGTTGAACGTCCGGTGCAGTGCCTCGCTGTTTCGTACCCTTAGAAAGAAAGAAAAGAGTGTAAGCTGTCTGTACGAGAGAATACAATTTTGGAAAAGGTTTATGTTGATTTCAGTCTCTTTTACAGAACCATTAAACTACTAACAGCTACCACAGTTCTAACAAATTCGTGATTACTGAAAACTTAAATTAAAATCAAGTTATTTCAGTGATTAATCATGTCTCCACTAAAACTGAGGAATAGAATGAATTCTTAAAATCGACACCAGAGATGATTGATCAGTTTTACGCTCCGGTTGTATTTATTCCCGGTGAACACACTTCGCGATACTCATTTTGTTGAGAGCTGGGATAGACCTGGATTGGTTTTTGCGTTGTGAAAAGACACAAGAGTCCATGCACTTTACATTACTCGAACCCGGGTCGTCCATCTCGTAGCCAGTCACTCAACTTTTATGTCAAATTTATAAACCATACAGAAACTGCGAGAAATCGGTTCATCTGGTTATAGAGCTAGTTTTCTTGAACGTGGTTGTCTAAAATATCCTGGCAGCAAATTAATATTGTTACGAACTACTGCATTGTCAGTACAAAAATATCTTAAGCAAACGGTTATCCAATTTGAGACCTTTCTATCACACCTCGACTACTTTTTTAATTTAATTATTTCACTTAATTATTCGCTTTATTTTATAGTAAGTTGTTTATTAATATAGTATTTAACATCGCTGCAACAGCTAAGGAAATTATCATCGATAATGTAATTCACTGTAAATAGAATATTAAGTATGAGATTAGTACAATATTAACTGGAAACCTTCTCAAAAAAATATATGAATTCAAAAATATAAGATATAGACCCTGTTATTTAGTCATAAAAATAAGGGGCTCCTACCTATTTTAAAGAAATTCTATATCCCTTATTTTTGCTTTAAATTGCCGACGTCCGGTCAAACATTTTATTTGCAAACGGAAACGACAAATTGACTCGTACCTTATACTTCCACTGTGAACTCTGACCTAAGTGGGTGGGGGGGGGTGTCTAAGAGGATCCCTCTGTCCGTATCTGTGACCGACACACTGCGTTGGTTTCTCGCTAAGCCGCTTTGTTGAATCTGTGTTAATTTACTGTACACGTTGAGCTGCAAAGTTCAAAATTGACTTTCCGGTACATCTGACAAAATGCGTGCTAGCTCAGTGATACAGCGTGAGTAGTGCAAGAGCAAACACACTATATCAGAAATACTAGAAATTTCCACAACGTAACAAATTAGTCTCCAATGTTTCTTGGTTTGTTTAACGACGCTTCAACTGCGTCGAATAATGACATTTTCAAACTAGGGAAGACGTTAAAGGAGGCAATCGTGGCTTATTTTATAATATATCAAGGGCGTATGCTTAGAGACTGAGGTAGACAAACAAAACTTCAGTCAAGGTAACTGGACTCTTGAGTCCAGATTCGAACCAGAGGCCTTCATAATACGAAGTAGTAACTATTGGTTTGCTACGATAGGTAAATCCAAATTGGACACGACTTGTACCAATGGAATATATTCTAAATAGCCGCCATTTCTGTTTAATATCCTCTTCTTTTCCTTCTTACATTTTCTGAGTTGGTACAAGTTTCGTATTCTTTCCCCCAGATTCACGTTCTTAAAAATCTTACTCTCTTTTATGCTAAGCAACTATTTCAACGATATCCATAATAGCATAGTCGATAAAATGGCTGACTGCTTTATCAACAGTCTGAGGGGATTGATATTCAGGAAGGATGCTGTAGATTTCAAGTTCAACTACGAATAAATATCGCAAAAATTCCCTTAATATTTTCCCCATGTCTGTTTGTCTCTTCGCATACAATTCGAGTACGGCTAAAGTGATTTCTATATAATCTGGTGTTAGGAATTTATGTTAGATTTGTGAGCAAAATCCAGTTTTGGTTAAAAGTTTACGAAACAACGGGTGTTTTATATGAATACTTACAATCGTGACGCAAAATCAGAGAGACCGTAACAATAAATAGATATTTTGGCCAACAAGTCTTTTGTTATTAAAACCTTAAGATATTTAATTGAATTTGTATTACTATGAAACACAATAAGAACTCCGTTTCTGTTGAGACCCGAACTTCGCTCATCCATGTGAGATTTAGGGTTCTCACAGCGGTGAAGATGATGATGATGATGATGTTCTGGGTTGTGACGCCGTCTGGGATAGAAGGTACCAACATTTCGGTGAAACATTCTCCATTTTCAACCCTGAAGAACAGCATTTTTCGCTCGCACAGACCGTAGCAACGAAATTACGTAAATTTTTCATTAATATTTCAAAGACGTTTTAGTGAATTTTTTAGTTTGGGTATTTTTTTACTAAGAAATTTTTAGTATACTCTAGTATTTATATTCTATTTTTATCGAAACCTTGAAAATGAGAGTAGTAAAATGAAATACGGTACAGCTGAGAAAACCTGGTCCGTGTTAATGTTAAAACACTTATTACCCTCAACTTAGAATTCCAATTGTTCAGATTAATTATGTAATAAACAAGTACCACATTGCAGTGCAATCAAAATGCACCATCATCCACTTTGACGGGTTGAAGGCGATGGAGTCCACGTAATGTATGCCGTTCAACCAATGTCTGAACTCGGGACAGATGAAGGCAGTGCCTGCGTACGCAGCGTCCACATGGAGCCACATCTTTTCTGATTTACCTGGAAGAAAGTAAAATTAATTACGTAATCACAGACTTACGTTTAAGTTACGTGCATTATTAGGGCCTGTAGTAATTTCTTTCGAACCGCCAGGATTACGAGACATCTCGGTAGGTTAAACCAAGAATATCAAGACGATGTTGGAATATGGGCGTTTCAGCAACCCCATCTGCTTTAACCTTCATGAGAACCTATTCGTTCTCTAGACTTACACAAAATGAGGTATGTATAAAATACAAGTATAGAAAATAATGAGATGATAAAGTTGCGTCATATTGTGATAAATATATATTTGTTTAAATCTTGTCAGTCTAATCACAATAAAATTCAAAATACAATAAAATCTGGAAGAAAACATCATTTGAAATCTGATAAACATCTGACTAAAAGTTGCATTTAAGAAATTATATTTAAGTTTATATAATTTTATACACCTGAAGATGGTTCTTTTAGAACTGAAACATGTCGTGTAAAAAGTGATGATCTAATGTAAATGGAAAATTTCGATAGAGAACATCATTTAATATATTTTAAATATTTAAATGTTAATTATAGTTAATATTTTAATATTAATAGGAATTTTATTGTGATTAGACTGACAAGATTTAAACAAATATAGAAAATAATATTAAAGATCAAACCACAATAGTAATCTGGAAGCTGTAAAACTAGTTTCAGATGTATTGCCCTCAGCAAGTTTGGATTTGTTGGTACGAAATCCGACTTATTTCTCTTCGTAGGCACCGCAAACTAAAAACGCGGATTCATAAATACTATGGGTGCTTCAAATCCGTAGTATAAAAAAATGCAGTCTGAAAGAGATTGTTATATACCCAGAGATTTCCTGTCCTCACCAACACGAAGGTCACCCACTTTCGACTACAAGTTTTTTCTCTGTCTTTTAGTGACCAATCTGACGGCCAATTTTTAGTCATGCGGACGATATATAATGTACGAACATACCATAAAATTTCTGTATCAGGTGGGCTCCTAGAATCGGCGAGATTTGCCGAGCAGTCGCATGTAAAAATAAGCGGCCTTCTTCCAGCTTAAGGATTGAACAACAGCTAACATTGAAGAACAGTAGGTCTTTGTTACAAAATTTTAACTTTGATATGGCTGACTTTTCTGATCGCAGTGATGAATCTTTAGGTTTCATGAAAGTCGGACAGGTATTTGACTATTGATTATTAACTTCTACTGCTCTGCTTAACAAATCCTATCCTGTACGTCGTACTGAAATGCATATTTTATGGCTGTGTAAGCTCGGGTAGGTACGATTACGTCACCGAGACTTATACTTCCAGCCGGTCGTGTGTTAACGCATCCGGAACGACGTTATGAACCTTTGAAGACTGACAGGGGAAGCAATTTATTACGCGTCTGAAACCAAAAGGGAGCAGGTGAGTGAGAAGAGAACATTATTTAGGCAGATAAATCAAGATTGAGATATATTATAATCTAACAGAAATAAAATCAAGAACATAATTCTAACAGTGACATACAAAGAACCATGCAAGTTGATAATTGAATATGGCTGTTTTCTGGTAGACTTCTAAAAGACTACATGGTGCTACAACCCAGAAGTCAGCCATCTTCGGACTCACCACCGTGAAAACTTAAGATCTTAATAAGTTGATAATTCTTGCAATATTTTAAAGGGAGAAAATATAAAAGATCTCTGATAAGAAATGCGCTGCGAATGTAATGTTTCACTTACATATGGGGCCCAACTCTTGCAGGTTGTCAAATGAACAGGCACCGGTTGTCCCCAATGTTGCACATAGCTGTAAAAGCCACATAATATTTAAGGAACTTTTATTTAGAATTTTTCACAAAGTAAGTCACAGTACCACAAGGGGTTGTTCTTGTAATTTGAATTACATTGATGTGGATATCACAGAATGTGTGTTCACGTTCGTTTGATACATTGTTTATAGCCTTCTACGTATAATAGAACAACCCGGTGTGATACAGGCATGGACAAACATTTACGTAACCTTGGGTCGGATATATTTTTGTCATCATGGCCGGGGTCCATGATCTTACATACTAAGCACGTTTATACCAGTAACTGAAACAAAATTAAGTTCTAATTGAGTTTATTGTTGTGATTGACTGGCCATACGCGAATCTAAGATCTAGATGGCACATAACAAGTTTTGATTTTAATATCATAAGAAAAACTAACAAATAATTCATAGAAAATACAGCAATAGTACTATTAAAATATTTTAATAAGAGTTTTGAGAATGAAAGTCCAGATTTGAAAAGCTGTGTATGCTGGACGTCACGCATAGAAAAGGTCTTTAATTTGTAGAGTTATTTATTAATTTCAAGTTCCTGCTACTCATGAAAATATTTAAGCGAAAAAGGATATTGTAAGCTTTTGCAGAAGTTACCGTGTCCCTTAAAACCGATTCCATTCAACGCATCTCTGCTTTATCTTTCAAAATACATTAGAGGGCTTACGTAAAAAAAATTGTTTTCTTATTTTATTAATGAGAAAGCTGTTTTATGCTGTCATGTTTGTTGTTTTAAACTTCATTCTTTGTGGTTCTGCAGTTTATTTTAGACGTGCTGGTGGTTTATACACTGAGAAAGAAACTATCGTATTGTTAATTGGGTCTCATGGGATACCATGCTTTGTCTTACTAAAAGGACAGGAAAGGAAATCGTCTTTTCTGCAGGCGGACTGTCAGCCCCCGTAATTAATCTCTGCTGAGTTCTCTGCGTATGCCTGCTTGCATCCCGCTTCGATGATATCCACAGTTGAGAATGTCAGCCTTTTGGTGAATGGCGAACCACCGCCTTTCCATCTGCACCTGCACCCACAGCCTGAATGACGTCAGTCTGTAAATGCTTTCCTTTAATTGCCTGCATGCCGGGAATACGACGTTCTTAGACGTCAATGAACGCCTTTATCTTAACGCCGAATTATGTTTGTCAGTAAGAATTTTAGAACAGCAGCGCCAGTAGCGTGACAGGAAAGCACGGGCCACACGAGAACTGGTTTTCTCGTGCAACGCGGGTGTTGCATAACTCGTGGTCTAATGTAGTCTTGCGATCACTTGCGACCTATCGTTTTAGCCAAAATAAACGCAAACGGCGTTCATTTGAATAATTTCATGTGTTGTGAAGGTGGTAATCTTATATTCTGAAGAAAGAACAAAGTAAAAGTAAAGTAAAGCTGTCCCTCTATACGCCACGTAGGCGCTTGGGGAAGAGGAGGTATAGCTCCTATTCATTCTTGACCTCAGCACTAGATGGGGGTAAGTGGTCAGCATCACGCCCCGGCCGACTTTACCCCCGGGAAAGGACTCCGGTACCCATTGTAGAAGAGGCCTGAACGCAGAGGCTAGAGGAAAAATCCTCTGCCCCCGTCGGGGATCGAACCCCGGCCGTCCAGCCCGTAGCTAGTCACTATACTGACTGAGTTATCCCGGCACATGAAAGAACAAAGACTGAAGGAATTTTAAATAAATAAGAGATACAAGAGAAGATTATTACTGCTTAAGCGAGAAGTGTCTAATGACCGGAGAAAATTATATAAAGATATAATTAAAATTAAATTATTTGGTATTCCGTCAAATCACAATGTATTTAAAATAAGATAATTAAAATAATTAAAATATCATTCTTTGTTCCATATCGAATAATCGATTTACAGTTGGAACAGTTACAACATGTTTCGGTTTTATTAAACCATCATCAGGTGTAAAATTATATTAAATTTAAAACTCAATTACATTTTTTACAATTTTATAAAGATATAATTGTTGTTATGTACTTTTTACCGGATATTTTCAAGGTTATGGTTAAAAAAGTTATATGAGTTGGTCAGGGCAAGTAGTACGTATGGGGAATTAGTTATAAGTTCGACATTTTTCTTAAAAACCTCAATCACAGAGACCATTTGGAAGGACTGGGCATAGTCGATGTGGGAATATTAATTTCGATGGCCAATTATAGAATTAAGGTGTAAAGGTGTGGAATGGATTCAGTATCAAGACGGACTCCAATAGTGAGCGCTTGTGAACCTTCTGAGTGCATTAGAACAGGGCACTTCTTGACCACACTGGTCAAGGCAACTCTGTGCCCAGAAATTAAAGCATAGAGATGTTATAAAGTCATCTTTAAAACCATTGTGTCGTTCTTTATGTTCACCCATTGCGTCTCTTGAAAAGTGAAAGTTAGGTTCCAGTGTGATCAGGCAAAATATTCCTACAACCTGAAGTACTGTTTTTTTTCATTCACATACAAACATATAAATATGTAATATCCTCATTCCCCATCAACATGTCTTTAACAGCTTAATTGTAGCACTGTACATGGACTGTACTCATATGGGACGATACAGTTGCTCGTTATATCCGTATTTTTATTTTTAAAATGTGGAATAGATAAACATAACAAAGTTGTGATTTTGAACTTCTGCTGCTTAGTTCTGCGTTGTGGCCCTCGTAATTTGTGTAGTTTCTTCGCCACTCACAGCCATACATAAAGTAAATAACCTCTTTACAAATTTGTAATATATCTGTATTTTAATATTTTTATGAAAACTAAAGGGATGATTACAGTTTTATATCTTTATCTTGTAAAGATTTTTTTCTTAATTGAAATATTAAATACAAGTTATTACTTAATAGTAACTGCAAAAATAATCTTACATAGGTCTATAAATTTATTTCAAATATTGGAAAAATATATTTGAAAGCTTGGAACATTACAAAAACATTAATTTATCATTTTTATAGGCTGAATTCTGTACTCACAAAGAACGGAATGAGGTCCTTTTCCTTGTCCCTTGCAATTACCTCCAGTAGACGATCTCCACGTAGACACAAGTGCTCATCGCTCTCGATATATCGCATTTTCACAAGTCCGATAAGACCTGCCTTTTCTACAGAGGAGTGGGCCTGAAAGTGCATTAAGAAAATTGACTTATTTTTCGAGAATCCGTAAATACTGGTCCATGACTTGAAGTCGAATCAAGCTTAATGTTGACCATAAAATATAGTGGTTAGTTTTCCTTCATATGTCATATTTATATGACTGTTAGATTACTTATTTTCTTCTTCTCTATTTGTGAATCCAATACTATACACTTTTCATCTATTCTACAAAGTGAGTCACAAGGTTCTACACCGTAATATGCTACGAATCGCAAATTATCTTCATTGGTTCTGAAAATGAGTCATAAGACTGTTCCCAACTGTTGAGTCTGAATCATATATTGTGTGCTTTAACTAATCAGTTGTGGAAGCGGCATCACAGAATTTTCCAGCTTACATTACTGTTTATCTGTGAATCCCATACTGTACACTCATATGTTCTGAATCCTGTAATACGAGATTTGTACACTCACATGTTCTGAATCCTGTAATACGAGATTTCCCATCTTGCTGGTGTATGTCTTAATCGGTTTTAAAAACCGTGTTAAACAAATTTCCCACCTTACTTATCTTCTGTATGTATGAATCTCATACTGAACATTCTTCATTAGTTCTGGGAATAGAGTCACAATTTTTAGGGTTTTCTGACCTAGATTTTTGTTACACTTGAATTTTTTCGATTAATAGTGTTTTAATTAATCTATTGAAGTTACAGAAAGGGGCGTAAGTGGATAATTTTGCTAACGACAGCCTCTGCACGTCGATATTGTTATTTGTCACTAATCTTTGCTGTCCAGATTATCAAATTCTGAAGTTTATAGTCGCAACTTACATATAAATTAAAGAAACGAGACGCTATATCACCTGAGGACGGAAAGTGAATCCAGTTTACAAAATGTTGTGTTGTGTTCGGAATTCTAGCTCACACATCCAATGATACTAATTCCAAACAAGTTCTGAATAAGATTAGTCCAGTAACTTTTAGTGTTAGATATTCAACTTATTGGAAGATTATCTGACACCTACATTATATATCAGCAGTGTTGGGGCAAAGTGAACGTCTTATTAAGTTTGTAATATTAGATTGCTGAATCTCCACCTCTTAAAGGCAACAGACTATTGTTTCTGTAACGAAATGTAGGCTATATTTGAAGGCGACTTCTCTGCCTTTTTACAAAATTTATATTTCGGAGATGTTTCAGATAATATTTGCTTCACAAATTGAAAAAATAGCCAAACACTGTTATTTACTTGGTCAGAACAGTACGCCACGAGTCGGCTGTTAATCTCTGCGTCCTCCAGCTCCTCATCCTGCTCGCGGTATCTTCTGATGGCCTCGGTGCGACCTGCCAGAAGACAAACGAACGTCGCCTCGCTTGCAGTCGTCTGAAACAAATTCCAAACAATTTCGCTGTTAATTCAGCCGTAATAATACTTGGCGAAGAGTACAAATTATGAATTTCAACATGAAGTTTTTCCCAGCCATCTTTTACTTCCTCCTTCTTGGGTCCAAATTCTCTCCTCAGTAACTTCGTTTTCACACATCCTCGATTTACTTTCTCCCCTCAGCATTATGGCTGAAGTTTTAGACCGATTGCAGACAAAAGGTAAAATTGTAACATGCAGTATTATATTCTTTAAGTTTTTAAATATAAATATGGAAGATTGGATATTCTGAATCTAATTCCCTGGATTTAATCTGCCCCGAAGTTCATGAAAACAGCATATTTTTATTTGTTATTGGTGTTCCCAATATTTGAAAAACTTTGAACACTTTTCACTGTCACTTCCTCAATAACTAATTTAGAGTGCGCTTACCTGTATGACGCCTCCCCCTGTACTGTTCACCCGAGTGTGGAGGAACTCGTCGGGAAGCCCGATCATCTTCCCCAACCAATTCATCACCACAGTCTCCAGTTCTGTACACGCTGGACTTGACGCCTTCAAATTACGGATCAAACTTTTACATTTCTAGTATTCCGACAAAAATTCACTGCTTCTTGAAAGAACAAAATATCACTTTTTCTCTTCTGTTTTGGTTAGTATAAGCTTAAACTTGTTCCATATTTAGATTAGATATTTAATTCCATCCTTGCGTTTGTAACAGTTTTGATATACATCATATCTGCACTAAATAACAAAAAAAGGTACATTTGAGGTATTGCCTTTTTACTTATTTGTCATAATCAACGATAGAGGTTAGGTTTATAACTAACAAAAATCCAAAATTTGTTATTTTCATCTGTTCCTTGGTCTACTAACTGCCAATCTTTCTTGGTTGGTATTCTCTTGCAAGTCTTGGTATATGGTATTGACTCATTTGTGTTTGGGCTTTACCACCGGGAAAGGACCCAGGTACTCATTGGATAGGAGGCTGTGTGGATCCTAGAACCGGTTTGGACGCAGAGGCTAGAGAAAAAAAAAATCCTCTGCCCCTGTCGGAGATCGAACCCCGGTCGTCTAGCCCATAGCCAGTCACTGTACTGACTAAGTGTGTAGGGAGTTTTAAACTACTCACCAGGAATGCGGTACCTGTAACAGTTTGTGTTTTATCAGGTCATAAATACCAACCTAGAAGATCAAAGTTGACACTTTGCAAATGTTGGCGTGATCCGAATTTTTGTTTTTCCTTCAGCTACACATTCGCTGGCAAAAGAGAACAGATTCCTGGGCTTAAAGTTCCTTGTTTTCTCGTAATCTATAGGAGCAGTACTCACCCACGTAAACCCCAAGCAGTTAATAGCATCAGCCAACATGTCTCCCAGAAGAGACGGGAAGGAATTCAGCGCAGGAAAATAAGCGTGCATGTACGGACTCTGCCAGTGTGTCACCTGGAACAGACGTCTGGCTTATTCTCTGGTCGTTATACAGCTTTAAGACAGTTAGTAATACGGTAATAGATTAATTTTTTTTAAGTCCTGAAGCCTAATTATGAAGTCCATCACCAGACTACAAGGTCCTACAAGTAAAAATATATATTGATATTTGAGATATTATTTTATGTATCATGTTTGTGAATATTTACCTTCCATAATATTCTTCACACCAACGAGCGGACTTTCTTAAAACATGGTTTTGACATACTTTTATTGGCGGCTTATCCATCTTACTAGCCCTATTTCTAAATTTATTGTCATAATTACAGACAACACAGGTTCAATCAGAACTTTTGAAGTGAAACTGACACTTTTAACACTTGATACAAAGATTTTAAATTCTGTAAATAAGGATAAAATTAAGATGGGGCATTAGGGAGTAAGGTAATGATTATAAAAGTTGGATTGAGCTGGCTCATGATTGACGCAACTTTGTTATTAGCGATGTGGAACCTACTGGTTCTGCTACGACAATGCTGAATTACAATTCAATATTTTCAGCTCGAAGTTTATCTAATGTTCAAGAATGCAGTTCCTACATCAAGGAAATTACAATAGTCTCTGTTTCAAGTGTCAATTGAACAATGTTGTTTAGGGAAATAAATAATGTTCATTATGAAAAGTTTATTAATATGATCTGCGCTTTAAAGTTTATGTTTACTAAAAATTTACAACTTTTACGTGAATATAGTGACCGATGGCAGGAAGACAACTCGGATAACTTAAGAAAGTTGAAAACGTTTGGTCTATAAGACAAAAATTCTGAAGCAACTCTTGGTCCTATTATTCCTATCAGCTGGCGATAGGCCTTCTGGATGAATGCTGCCTCGCACTGCTGCTTCATGATGGGATGAAGCTCTCAGCCCACACAAGAAAACATACGTCAATATATTCAACCGCTGCTAGAATATTTCTGTCCTATATAAATCAGAAAGGTACAGTACAGAATGGAATCACCTGAAAGAATTCTCCCATTTTCACTGTCACTAGAAGATTTAAGCACTGTAGAGTAAATGACTGTCGAATGTACTAAACTAATAAGCGACTACACCTTTCAGAATATAAGGGCAAAGAAAATGTCCCTGGTCTTAATTGCGCACCGCGCCATGATTGCATGTCAACATACGTCATCTAGTGCGAATATACACTGTATTTCTGTGTAGAGGTATGAGAGATGTTCCCATCATAGAATCTCTAAGAAAAATTAAGTGATGATGATTATTGTAATGAAGGGCTAGTGTGATAAAAATATTAGACTCAAATGACACAGGAAACAAATGAAAAAACGGATCTGATAGAGAAAGTATGAAATGACAGAATACAGATTGAGTTCAACCGCGACAAAGCGACAGACAAGACAGACAACGTGGTTGGGCCTGTAAGTTGTTTGCTCGTGCTAGAGTTTCAAGAGGTCTAAAAGTCCCAATTTCTGTGTGGGTACTCTATATAGAATTGTTATGAGACACAGGATAATACCAGACTGCTCACTGTTTGTGACTTACCCCAGGCATGACTACTCGCTCGACGTCTGCGATGATGTCGTCCCAGGACTCTGGTTCGAGGGGCGCGCTCTCTGGTATGAGTTGCCTCAAGTAGCCGGGCGCCACCGCCGGATAGACGCGTCTCTCCCTGATGTGCTCCAGATAGTCCGCGATGTAGTCCACCATCTCTTTGCCTGTCAGTAGTACAGATATGCTATGGACCTGATCTTCAAAGGAGTCTTTATTTGAGAAAAAAGCTTGCATTACGGCATAGAGAGAGAGAGAAAGAATGTGTGTGTCTCTCTCTCGCTATGTTTTAAAACAATGGTTCGATCGTCAAGGCAATAACAATAAATTGAAACAAGGAAAATAATAAGAAAGCAATTAATCGCTTTACATAAGTTTTCGATGCTAAGTTAAAAGAGCTAGATATTCGACTAAGACAATATCCACAATGGATATTTATCAGAAATAATGCGAAATATAACATTCTTATGTAAAAAGTAAATCACTCCGAATGAGAAGCTGATCGTGACTTTTGGATAAGAAATAGTTGAATATACTGTACTAAAATTATTTGTCACAAAAATATGTTTGAAATTCAATAATCAACAGAAATCCAGTTTTGGCCGACCATAAATAGTGATGCTGTATTAAAATTTGTCATATTCCAATGCCTACTACACATCCGTCCACCAGTTGCTGATGGCATGTTATGAAGCCACTCATAATGTAACATTTTCTATCCTGTTATTACTTCCTCTCTCTTGGGTTCAAATATCCTATCCTCGTGTGGACTCACAACATCGATCTGTGTCGTTTCCTCAACTCTTTAAAACACGGTGATAACTTTATATACCATCTTATTTAACATTCGATATCTCTCAAATTTCGTCCAACGCATATTTGTGTGGCTTATATTGTTCAATGTATAAATATAATTTAAAAATATTATTTAGTTCATTTTTGTATTTCAGACCTAGACCGTTGGTAGAATTATGGATTACCAAGCTGTGTATATGGAGCAGTTATTTAAAGCAAGGCTGCCAGTTGTCATACTAAGACGCCGGTGAACACCCAGAGAGGAAGTTCAAATGCGTTTAGTATGTGATCTGAAACAGTTTACACGTTCATTACGTTTTATGAAGGCTGTGTCCAGTTTCCAGTGTCCATTGTCCATTCAGTCTAGGCGAGAATGAATAGAATAGATGAAATCAGTGAATTTAGATTTATTGTCTTTTAAGGCTGCAACTATTTTGTTGTTGGCAGTTGTGTCATTCAAATTCTGTTTTACTGTCTTGTGTAAGCTGGTATTACGCATCGAATCTGGGATAAATCTGTTCCACACATCTCCCTTCAATAAGATGTTCTGTTTCTCTTAATATGAACGGCTGTGTGCTGATTTCTTACGAAACAGTAAGTTTAACTTACATTGCGACAGCAGAATAGAGATATACACTTCTAGTGCACTGCGGGTTTGAAAAATTTGAATTTATATAAAAATCGTAGAAATTTAATACAAAACAGAGAAAAACATTCAGAAACTACAAAAATTTAATAAAATATGCCACTCCCAATCGATTTGTCCTCCTAAGATATCTAGCGAGGTCTAAATTGAGAGATCCATAAAATGTATTCCAAAATTTATAAAAATGTTAATTGGTTTCTGCTCCAAAAATATTGTTAGCACTCTAAATTGGATTTTATGAGAATCGAAAAAATGTCCACCCAAAATTTTATGTAATTTATAGTAAATAGATTTTGGGTCAATAAAGAAGTCTGTATATTAAAATAATATATTGAGTGGGACTGAGAATATTAAAGTCATTCTAAAAAAAGCCTGAAACTGCAAAATACTGGGGCAGTACTATCGCACTGGGGATTGGAATATTTGGATTTCCGTAGAATTGCAAAAAGTGACAAAACTCAGAAAATTAACAAAACTTTTTTGGTATTCTGAAATGAACAGAGAACTAGAATACATTGCACAAAAAATAAAATAAAAAGTTCTTCAGTTTTCCTATTTTGTATTAGTGAATAAATGTTATTAGACAAGTATGATACTAAAAGTTGCAAAATGTCCTTAATTTTAACACAGCCTTTCTATCATTTCTTGTAACATCTACCTCTACACTTCCGTTTACAGGAATGGGCCTATCGAGTAGCCCACCAGCAAGATCATTATACTCTCGTCTCAATTAAGAGAAAGAGGTAATTAATTCGATCTTTCTGGCACAAAGAAGAAATGAGAGATAATTTGATAATATGAAGACAATCATTCTACTCTTTCATCCTTGGCACTACGTACAAGATACAATGGCCACTCGTCTGAAAATCATCGTAAGTTGCTGAGGCGAAGTGCATTTATATATGTTACAACTTACAAAATCATTTTCTAAGAAATCTGAACCTACAGCTACCTCGTAGTCTATGAAACCAACACGCTACCAGTAACTTTGTGATATCTCGTTAAAGCAAAGAAATCTTAGATCAGGCATTAAATGAAGCAACCAATAAGTCCAGACAGGAGAAAGTGACATTAGGAACTTAAGATTAGCTTATTTATGGAATGTCCAGTTCTGCAGAGAAGTAGATAAGCCAATGATTAAATGGATAAAATATATTTAAATAGAACATCAAAAATATCACGCGTTTAGACTTGCAATAAAGAGACAGGGTTCGTGATACCATTCGATAAGGGTCAAAGTTTATTATTATCCGTAACGGACTTATAATAAAGAGACAGGGTTCGTGATACCATTCGATAAGGGTCAAAGTTTATTGTTATCCGTAACAGGAATGAGCAGGAATCCATTCCCCATGTTCTTCATATGTTCAAGACAGGTTCAAGAAGTGGTGTCTGTCATAACAAATAAACTATTGGATATACGATGTGCAGGCTGTGTTGTTTGCAACAGTCCAGTACTACGTTATAAACAAGCAAAAATTAATCGTCTGCATTATCATCCACACTTTTACCATATTATTTGTGTTGCATTGGCGAAGACAGCTCGAAGTTGAGTTTTTAACGTAAAATGGAATTAAACAGTTATCTTCAAGCCATCTGTAGTTAAGATCCAATATTTCAAAGAGAAACACAAAATGAGTTAGAGACACAACACAGAACATAGTAGAAATAAAGACAATATAACTTTTGAATAAATAGTTAATTTGCTGAATTGTTTCAAAAACGGGCAGTTACAACAATCTAAAATCATTCCCCTCATTCTCGGACGTGAACAAAGGAAGAAAAATAAATAAATGCGAAGATTTAAAAGTAAATTAGAGTTTATGGCCTGCAATGTCAATAAAGACACCTCATTGAGAATCGAACCCCAGCTGCCCACGCCAGACACAGACATGTTACTAACTAAACTATCTCTGAGAACCTAAAGACGCAAGATTTTATGATACTTATAAACTAACACTGAGGAAAGTCGAACCCATGTATAATGTGCAGCGAATCTTTCGAGAAAACAAATAAGAAAGATCATTAAAGTATCTCAGTGTCTCCGGTACACAAATCACAATCTCTTGCTAGGCAACACCATTCCTGCGTAAGACTAAAACGGGAGTTTGCTTACGTTAACGGGGGTTTTGTCGTGGCGGAAGCCTCGACTGTACAAACTGGGGTCTGTTACTGCTGATGAAAGGTTATCCCGTCAGGCAACTTGTCCTTCGTTGGGCTCTAATGGTTATTGAATAAGTATTGCTGTCCGCTCGTCGCTTCTTTAAGCTCTGCCAGCCGACCAATCCATGATCGAGCAGTTTCATGTGAAACCTTACAAACTCTACGCCGCCACCTCTATTCCTGTCACATGATCCCTCTAATTTTCAAATATTTTCCTAAGCACCCTTTTCTCAAACACCCTCAATCTGTGTTATTCCTTTAACCTGAGAGACCAAACTGAAAACCCATGCAACAAAAGAGGTTACATTACATTTTGTATATTTGAATCTGTACGTTTGAAGGTAGAAGACGGAAAAATTAATATTTTGAATTGCACAGTATCGAACATTCGCCGAATTTGTTCTGCTATTGATTTTCCAGTGGAAGTAATTTTTTGTTTGTTTTAACAACGTTCTTAAATGTTTGAACTCCGCAACGTCTTTAAAAGATATATTAAGTACTTTCGTGTAATAATTTTGTCTCGTGACGAGACATGAATATTTGTCTACACTCAGTTTCTCTGCTCTTATTTTAATGCCAAATTCCGTACTAGCATCTCATAGAATTTACGTTTTTCCTTCTCAGTAAATTATCATTATCAACAAAGACAAAATCTGATGTGTGACATTCAATTCCATTTCCTATTTTTTCTTCAGGCATTCATGTCGACATTCTGCAAAGCAAGACTCAAAAATGGCAAAGAACATTTTTTCAAACCATTCTGAATTGAAAATGCGTCAGACAAACGTTTATCTATACTTTGACATAGTTTCTGTAAACTCGTTTTAATTAGTGTAACTAGTTTCACTGGTATGCGGAATTAAATTAGAAGCTGTACAATAGATTCGTCCTTACTGAAGCATAAGTTATCTTGAAGTCTATGCATAGTTGATGTACTGACCTATTGTTCTAAGGTACCAATTGTTCACTTGTAAGTATTTCAGTCTGCCTAACGTCGATAATTTCATTTGCATTCAATAACTGACTAAAGAATTCGTTCACCTCTTCAAAATCATTTTGGAACATGCAAGCAGGCCATCACTAACATCTGATAGTCCAGGGATGATAACGCTTTGAAAAACATTTATACATAATTTCATAATATTTATATTTTACTGTTTGTTGCTTCAAGTTCATCACCTTTGTCTTTGATACACTCCCTTCTTTTGGTCCTGAAATAACTACTACATTCCGTCTCACATTTTACACATTATCTCCATTCATTTGGATTCAATTCTGCAGTCGCTACAATTTAATTTCTTCCTTTTATCTAATAATTTTAAACATTCTTCGTCAAGCCGTACTTTATACTATTTTAACTTATAATGACCAAAGTCCCATTCCGATGAAATGTTTAAATTATCTTTGTTCTATTATTTACATTATCCATATTTTCTGAAGCTACAAATCTGTATGAGATGCTTAATTTCTTTTAGTGAAAATCAGATTTAAAAATTCTACAAAAAATATATACGTATAATTGTTTTGGTTCTGTAAAATCCTTTTACCACTTGTCCTCCTGCACTCCCACTAAACGTAACTTCTATTTTTCAAATTATTTTGATACTATTTTCGAAGAAAAATGGCTATACAATTTCGTGGCATTCCAAGTTCCAAACCTCGTGACGTTTTTCCATGGTTTAGTTCGTTACAAAGAAACCGTCGACGTTCGAAACCCTGAGTAACATTTCGTAACTAGCTGTATGTTGCAGTGTAGAGTGGTTAGCCTCCCCCCTACAAACTGGAGCACCACCCCTTATTAGCTGTTCGCAACTGTTTATTCAATATATTTGCAAACACTCAAAGTCCATGCCATGCTTATGGTAACATGGACACTTGAATTTGCAGTTTAAAATGTTACATTAAATAAACAAAGAATTATATCTTATTAGCTATTAAACACTTCTTTCTCTTATAACTTAGTATCGGCAGAGTATGAAAACCTCTACTTACCTCTTTTTCTGTATTCACTGAAATCCATGTCTTGAATGTAATGAACACCCGCACAGTTCTGAAAAAGACAAAAAATGTTTTTATTTTATTTTTTCAATTTCAAAGGCAGGTCTGTTAAGTGACATTGGTAAAACCTTGAAACGCCTTTACAAATTATCAAACATTTCGATAAAGCAAGAGAGAGGTTGAAATCAATCGGAATGGAATTTCAGCCGAAATTAATTGGCGTAAATATTTAGTATATTTTGTCAGAAATTTTAAATAGAGATCGTAATTTAATTTTGAGTGAAAAACAAAAGATCTTTCTGAAATCTGCGGTAAATTACATTTTGATACACTAGTTCTATTGAAATATTCATACAGCACAGGATACAGACAAGTTACTAGCTCTTTTGAATAGGGTAATGCACGGATATAGTTTTAAATGCATTAAATTAAATATGTGACCACATAACCTAACTAAAGTACAGTAGTTCGTAAATTCTGTAATTCTTCTACAATTTTGTTTACAAAAACACTATGTTTATGTACATTACATTAGTACGATTTTTGATATTGTGTCATTTTTGAGGAATTTATTACTTACATGTTTGCGATGACGCTATGAACTTTTCCACTTAAATATTAAGTTTCTGACACACGTCTGTACACATCCAATGCTACCCGTTACTGTTCTATGCGTATCAACTGTCAGGTCGTATTAACAAGAAAGCAGAGCTCTCATATGGCTTCCTCCCATTTCCTGTCAGCATTATTCTCCAGTCTTTTAATGTGTACACTTTACATTAAAAGTTTGTAGCTGACCCACAGAAAATGCTTACGAAATATTCGGCAAAAAACGTGAAGGGAAGGTGAGACCACTTGGAGACGTAGGCAGAGACTGGAGGACATTGCTTAAACCGGTCTTTAAGAAGCAAGATGAGTGCCTGGTCCGTATATGATCCAGTAGGGGTTGCGGTGTCTTGTGAACGGGGTTAGAGACCTTTGGTTCCCATTAAAACCGTTGATTTTTTGTGTACTTCAACTTAATTAGTAAGACGAATACTAAGAAAGTTTCTCGTCGTGTTTATTTGTGAGAAGGCGCAACTATACCGTCCTTGGAACTTATCTGTTTGTAAGTAAAAACAAAAACCAATCTTTGAATGTCAGGAATAAAAACTAACTTTATGGTGGGAAATCATTTTTGAGAAGCTGATAGTCGTTTAGTTAGTAAAGAAATTTTCCACCCTACACGTAACCCTAAGGCTCATTACAGTGTTGACAGGTACCCTCTGTCGGCCATTGTCCTAAGCCAGTTCTGCCAAAACACTCCGAACCTGTTTTCTTAAGACTCATTTTAATATTATCATCCCATATGCACCTACGTGGCCCAAATCTTTCCTTGATTCAACGTAAGTGGATACACAAATAGGCAAACCAGAATAATATGGAATACTGCTTATAAATCCGAGTATGTCGTGGTGTCTCTCGCCAGAAAACATCGGGTCCCATTTTTTCAGTGAAACTGTAGGTGAACGCTACAAGGAATCGATTATTCATTTCATTTCCCTTTCGAAGTTGACAAACAAGTCTGCTGGTTTCAGAAAGGTGGGGTTGCAATGCATATAGCAAAGTCAACATCGCCACCGGATTTCTGTTTTGGGGGGATTCTTAAGGAGAGCTTTTGCAAAAACAACTGTCACACACAAGAAGAATTGGTACGAAATACTGAACTGTGCATTTCAAATTCCACTGCAAAACTCTTCACCCGGTTACCTTAAACATGAGGAAGACAGTGAATGCATGAATCACTAAACGCTGTTTACACTTTAAAAACTCAACATTGTTTTTGTTTTCTGATTTGAACGTAATTTATTTCTTTTGACAAGTGAAAAATGTCAGGAATCGGTTGTCTTTCGATCGCTGTATATAATAAGAAAATTATAATTATAACAAAGGGCTGTCTTATTCCTGATGCTTTCGCTTGATTTCGCGATAGACTGGAGTAAAATATATATATGTAATTTTAGCAACTCTCCACAACTTAAAAATTTCGCGATACAGCGGTTTAAAATTCTTGTTTTGAAGGGCTCTGGACTCTAGGAAGTTTGCACAGAGAGATTTAACGTTACGAACAAACTGTATATGTCGATACCAACATTAGTCTCTTTTTTTCACGTTTTCATCATGTTCTACTCGCATTCAGTGACAGTTTAGAACTAGTGTCGTCTTTGATCCGTGATTCTCTTTTGCTGTTTACCTATTCTTATACTAAAAGCCCAAGAAACGCCACCGCGTGTCTTTTGTTATAAATTGTAATCTTCGGAAAAGCGAACGAATGTTTCTTCAGAGTGAGCTGTTTCCTTGCTTTCTCACTAGCGGCTTTTATTTAAGTGGAAACGTTTGTGTGCAGTCTCCTATCTACACGATGCACTGCAATACGAGGCAGGAAGCAGTGTCAAATTCATCCTTGTATCCCTAACCTCATTCTAGAAATTTAAGTAAGCACCTGTGAAGAAGATGACCTTGCTACTCGACTGTTAAATGACAACTGAAGTACTGGCGCGAGCAGATTACAACATCACGTGATCTAATTGAGCTCTCGTATGGTCACAGCGATGTTGTGTGTCGAATTACATTGAATTGCGACGATAAATAATTATTTTAATATGGGATTGTGCAAATTTAAATCAACCTGTAGAATCCAATAAAATGCCTAAGACTATAATTTCATTGCTGTTTTATGAGTGTAAAATTCAAGTAAACAACATAAATTGATGGTATTTGAGAACTGGGTGTGAATAGAATATTTCGACCTGAGAGATGAACTAACAGGAGATTACAGATAATTTTGTTATAAAATGCTGCTTTACAAATATTATGTTAGTAGGCTGATCATATCAAGTACAGTTTAATGTTTTGTGTACTGTAGCACACATGCGATTTGACAAATGGGTACAAATGTTCGTCTCCTGGAAGGGAAGTATTTTAAGAATGTCTGGACCTTTAAGAAATGGAGTGGAGTAGTGGTCTGAACTAATTTTGCTCACGATAGGGACGAGAGGCGGGTAATAAACCTTTGGATTCTATAAAAGTCAGGGAATATGTTGTCTAGCTCAGTGACTATCAATTACTCAAGATTGAAATTCCGCAGGGTTACTTATGTACCCCATTTTTGTAATCTAAATTGTATTACTCGGCCGGAGCGTGATGCTGACCACTCACCCCCATCTTGTGCCGAGGTCAAGAAAGGGTGAGAGCTATACCTCCACACCATTACTGCTCGATCAATTTGCGATATACACTGTTTTGTATATAACTCTCTTACGTAAATTCACAGGGTCATCTGACATGGAAATATTGAAAATTTTGTTGAATCTCCGATTAGCAGCAAACGTTGCAAATAATATGGTAACAGTATGGTTTCTAACAAGCAAGATATAAATTTGTGTGAAAAGAGCACATATCACATGTGCTGTTTTCATACAAGTTTATGAGTCTACGCTTGACGAATGGTATCCCATTTTAAAAAATACTGACGTGTTCCCTTTTCATTCTAACCCATCCATATCTTTGGTGTGCGGTCAGAACAACTGAAGTCAAATATAAAGATTATTCATTTAACCCGTTTTTCCGAACACGAAATAGTTTAGTTTATGTTTATGAATTATTAGTACGTGTTAACACTTGCCAACAAAGCAGCAGTGAGAATCATTAGTATTTCATCTAGCCAGTTTGACACAGTTGCAATCTGTAGGTATACTAATGAAAATTTTATGCCGAATTCATCACTAAATATTGTGCCGTTAATAACTTTCGTTAGCCTCGCGACATAGATTGAAAACCCTGAGCGAAAATAGAAAAGTAAGTTTTTTTCCCAAAAATAGAAGAGACCTGAAAAATGTTTGTAACCAAACATGACTGCCAAGTGCTACTAAGAAGATCTTTCTGCTGAATGCTTTCAATCTGTTTGCAACAGAGATGCTTCTTTCCAGAAAGCTGACAACAGCGTCGCATGGTGTAAGTTTTCATTGTGAACGGTATACTAGAGCAGATGTATAAAAATGGGTACAATAGATACATTTTTCATTCTTTAATTATGTCAAAACGCATTAATATATAGGTCCGTGGCTTTGCAATGAGTCGCCGAAACCTCGTAGACATAAATTCTCTAAATAATTAATTATTTTATAATTCGCCGATGCCAGGGTAGGGTTACATAAATTCAAAATTAACAACCAAAATATGGTTTCTGGTATGGGACACATTATTCGTATTGATTCTTCCTGTCTGTATCATCAATGCCCTGATGATTAATACCTGATATGTCTCCGAAATGTTTTATTTTATTTCAACATTGATTTACACGACAGATCGCTCGAGCAAATTTTATAACATTCATGCTCTGTGAAATATTAAATCTGAAAACAGTGGGTGTGTCCTCATTTCGTACTCTCATTCAAAATAACACCTGTGGCGTGAACTCTTTCAGCATATTACGGCCAAAATAAGGACTCGATAACCCCATAAATTAAATCTAGTACGTGTTTTGACAGCTAGTAATCAGAATTCTTCAGCGGATATACGACTGTCTTAATTTAACACAGTCTTTCCCAAACATTGTTACATATTTTAATAGAAACGCATTTTAGGTCTTCTTTACTGTTAGATAATCTTTGACAATTCTCAAGTGCGACAACATTTATTTTCGTGGAAGATCATGGCTTGAGATTTCAGTTGGAAACATGTGTTGAATGGGTAAGTTGAGAGATCTAGGAATAAATGGAAGGAGTTTAATGGATGTTAAATAATAAAGAGTGAAGTTTTCGATTGGATTATACTGGCAGAGGACACTGCTCAATGGTGGTCTCTTGTGAACGCAGTAATAAACGTTCATGTTTTATAAAAAA